TATTTGCATCCATCTTTAAGATGGATGCTTTATACCTCTGGACTGCATATTGTAGAAATGTGGTCCAGCCCGCATGCAACAATTGTTCTTTTCTAATATTTTGCTATATATATTTTTGTTTATTTTGAACTTCTAGTTTGGGATTTTTACAAATATAGCACAATCGTCTGAATTAATTAGAAAAACTTGTCCACAATTGACTTGCATGAATAGGCCTATGACAGGCCACCTGCATTTTGGTAATCCAATTTTGCCAATGAATGAGTCTTTTCTGGTTTAACATATCAGAACCTAGCAAAGTCCTAATGTTGCTTATTTTTAACCGGAAACAAAACATCTCAAGTTCCGATAGACTTTTCGGTTATGTTAGTCCATTTTTTTGTATTTTAGAAAATATAAACCTGTCAAATTACAAGAGGCTCGATTAAGATAACAAAACCTGATGAACTCTTACCGGTCCTTCATAACCACAAGACAACAATTGATTGCAATTTTACTTTTAATAACTATCTTTGTAGCTCTATAATGTTTCAATTTATGCTCCTACCTATTATCTGGATATACCAAGAGAGATGTACAGTCTAATGAGGCTACTACAAAATATTTACTCATAGGTGGGGCAAGCTCTTCTATTCTGGTCCATGGTTTCTCTTAGCTATACAGTTCATCCGGGGTTTACAATAGCTACTTTTCTTAAGACAACAAAATACATCAGATTCTAATAAGCCGTTCATCAGACAAAGTTTACAATAATAATGAAACCACATGGTGTAAACATAAGAAAAAAGAAAAGAATAAATGAATAGAACGAACATTTTCAAAAAAGATGTATCATTATTTCAAAGTAACTCGTTCAACAAAGAAATTGTGTAGAACGCTATCTGTAAATAGGCATTTTGGGACCCTTAGACCATAACAATTTGCAGTTTTATTTTTATATTTAAACAAAAATATAACCTATCAGATCTGGCAAGCATTTTGAAACATAGGGTTTGCAATGGCTACTTTTCTTAAGAAAACAACCATGTCAGAACCCGACATGCCCTTCGACAAACAATGCTTATGATACATTGCTTTAAAAGCCAGGCAGAAATCTGTTTTCAAAGGATATTCCTACAGGCTGCATTTTATTTTATTTCTATAATATACATTAAAAGGCGACAATTACAAGCTCATTTCTCACTTTCTTTTAAATTTAAATTTCCAACTTCCCTCCTTTGTTGCCCTTCACTCAAAAGCAGATCCCAAGTGCACAATAGATATGAATTTTGAAAATCTATCGCTGCTGTTAGACACTCTTAACTTCAAAACTTCATAAGTCTAACCATGCTAATGCCATTCTTAAGTGGCTTATAACAGTGCCATTCCAAACTGGCCATTAATATCTCAAACAATGGTTTAGTTTTCATTTTTCTGTAGTTACTAGTGCGTAGAGATTGTGCATGGAAGCACCCAGAAGATTGCATTTTGTTTTCATTAGAAGATTCTTGACACAAAAATAAGCTCCATGCTCGAGAAAAGTAGGGACAGAACTCCTATCAAACACTGAGGCAAGAGTTCCTATGCGTCAACAAAAATTATCTCCATATTCATTGATTGTGACTCTTCTCCGAGACTTTTTTCATCATTAATCATTTATTATGTTTTTAATTATTTTGTCACAATATACAAACAAAGGAATGTTAGGCCTATTTATAGATAGCCTTCTACAGCTATATTCTCATTAAGTTCATCATTTAATAATTTTTGAAAATAAACTCTCCACCTTTCATTAACTTCTTCATCCTTCACCAAGACACATTAATCCTCACTCTTAATGCATTTAATATGATCTAGATCCCTACATGTTTTCTCTTTCACTTTCAGTTAATTTGAAGCCATCTTTTTCACCATTTCTTGTTCCCATTTTACTATACAGATTATCATATGCCTTAAGTTTAACCTTACTTACCATTTGTTTAGCATTTTTCAATGACATTTTATATTCTTCCAAGTCTTGATTCATTTCTATTATACTGCCAAGTTTTATAATTATTCTTCTTTTCTAATGC